CTACCAGGTGGCTACTAGCACAACTACCTGGGCACAGTGTATAACTATACTCATAGCTGGCAGATGCTACACTGCAGAAAAGCCCAACTTACATAATGCTTACATCAAACCACAGATTCAACCCAAATGCACCACAAACTTCTGTGAGGCACCTCAGACCACTTGCCAGACTCCACATAGATCATCCACTGTGGCTGAGCTTTCCTCCAGTACCAAAAGTGCCTCCACGGGGCAACCAGTATCAGCAAAGCTATCAGTCATCATACGTAAATAAGTAAATACATACATTAATTTGGACTAACAGCTCCCAAGCCCTCTTCTAGGCACCAGAATCCCAGTCAGAAACCCACTTCAGGTCACCTTCTGCTTCTCATGAATTATGTTCTGAATTTTTGCACTCTTACCTCATCAGCACTCCAGTACGATCCCATCGTGCTCCAAACTGCATACAAGTCAGATACGGATGTCACCTCACTGTTAGAGACAGCAGCTGGCAGTGACACACGAAGTACCTCTGCAAACTTTAAGGAGGCACTTGCTGAAGAGCAAGTGGCTTATCCAAGCCACACCTCCTTCTTCATTGACTGAAAGGGAAAGTATGAAGAGAGAAGGGGCAGGAATTTGCTGAGTTTATCTGATAGCTAAACATCTATTTAGTGTGTTGGGGGAAGGGTGTACACACCAAGATGCCAAGAGTTATTAGCAATTCAAGATAAGGGAGTGATAACACACAACGCTTATGCATGGATATGTATGACTTGGCAGCCTAAGCAATGCACAAATCAGAGAGGGTAATAGCTACATGTAGGCTGGAGGAAAACAGAGCTCTACAGTACCCAATCAATAATCAAAAGTATTATGGATGAAATAACTTTAAAAGACGTCCTATTTCAATAGGATTTTATTTATTTTCCTTTTCTTAGAGGTAGATGAGGTTCAGTTGCTTGCTGGTAGATCTTTTCTCAATTTCATTTGTATACTTGTCAGGTGGATATACGTTTTCCTGCTTTCAGAACCCTTCCACGAACAAAAAAATGCTGAGGAAATCAAGACAAAAAGAACAAATTCTCCCCCAAATTAGGACATACATTCGTTCATCTTAAATGCTAACATCTAGATGTTTTAGACACGATACAGTGTCACCAAATTATGGTCTAAAAATGACACCCAACTTTTCCATTTTCTGGCAGAAAACTGTGCAGCAGCAGATGTGCAGGTGAGCAGCCTTTGCACAGGTCCAGCTACTAACATTCCCAGATATCTGATGTGAAATGACCACGTGAGAACTGCAGAAGGTGATACTACACACCCACAGTACCCACAACCTCTCTTCCCCTTCTACATACACACACATCTGGAAAATACACAATAAAGAGAGTCAGTTCCAGCCTTATAACTTTTCCCTGAATGTGAAATGACATAAGATAACATTCCCATTAACATCGTATCTGGCAAAAAAGACCCTCAGTCAGACAATCAGCTTCGGCTGTTTCTCCCAAAACTGAGAAAACTGATCTGAAAGTGAATAAACCTCTATTGATGCTTCCTGAGCTGTTCCCCTGGGAAAGTCTGACTTGAGGATGAAGGGCTATGGTAGCACCAAGACTATGGAAGGTGATGTAAACAAACAAACAAACAAACAAACAGAAAACCACAAACCAAACCTCAACCAAACACAGCAACTGTAACTAAACAACACTGACGAGTGTCCAGCTGAGGTAGAGGAGGAGGCAGGGAATGACTTGTTCACCTCAAAAAAAGCTGAGAAACAACTATTTCTTGAACAACTTCAGGAAAAAAAAAAAAAAAAAAAAAAAAAGAGGACCAAATTCTAGACCTCTACCACCAAGGGGTATACTCTGCAGGAATTTCCTCCACAGTAAGTGCTGAAGAGCATGGAGCTGGGGGGAACCCATCCCAGACACCACCTGTCAAGTGCCTCTGCTAGAAGAGGACCTAGTAATAGTTCCAGCACAGGAACCTGGGACAAGACATGTGGTTTGAACGAATAGCAAATGGAGAACATAGTAACCCAAAACAACATGCCAGTGTCTAAGAAACTACTATTTCTGGTTTGGTTCAGATTATCTGAGATTTTAGGGTGCATCACAAATTTTGACAAGGGGTATATAGAAGGCGGAGCGGGCTGTAGGAAGGATCCTTGCCTTTCCCTTGTCTCATGAATACCTATTTTTTTGACCAGGCTGAGCCTGGTAAAACCAGGAACGAGCAGGTGCTCACCATTTACTATCAAAAAGTCCACAGGCAAAGTCAAGAGGAGTATCTAATCCTGACAAAAAAATCCCCTATGAGGGCAAACAGCTAAAAAGTGAAAATGCACCAGCGTACTTCAGGGAGTCCGCAGACTTATGAAGCTGATGCAATAACCAGATCTTTGCAATAACCAGATCTTTGCAATAACAGGAGAACTCTGACAAACATGATGACACCCTGCCTGGCAGGCATTAAGGATTCAGTCACGGTGACCATTTTTACAGTTCAGTTACCTTATTTTTTGTTCATCTGTGGCTTCTCGGATAAAACAGTGGACAGGATTTTAGAAGACAAAGTTGAAATTGTCTGTGTACCTTGTTGGGAAATTTGTGGAGAGAAAAGACTCTTCTGTAGATCTTGCCTACTTCTTTTAGGCCAGGGTACAAAAGGAGGTGAGGGACTCCTGTAAGTCTCATCCTGGCACCTACCTTTCTTTCACAATGCTTCTGTGGGACTATGACCAAAACCCAATTTCTTAACCAGTTCTAGTTATAGAAAAGATCACCTGTCTTTCTCCAGTAACTCACCTCTGAGGAAGAATTCATACTAGAAACAGAAGTTAATGGATCTTTCTTGGTCTTTAATGTGTTTCAGTAGATTCCCTTCTCCTCAAAACACCTGGGCTTTTTTTTTTTTTTTTCCAATCTGAACAGTTAATATCTTTTTTTAACATCTGAAAAACTGTCCAAAGGGGCAGAAGATTTGCTTATGAAATGTCTCATTAGCTGAAGAGGAAGAAATGCTAGATATTTATTCTGTTATATATCCACATTCAGATATGCAATGATGGCTGATCAACATCCATGCTTTGGTGGACAAGACTCTTTCTTCTTAGGAATGATACAATTGTTTCCAGCATTACATACCATTCTCCTGTACAGCTTGAAGAGGAGAACTGCTTTTTGTGAATAGATTTTTTTATCAAGTCTTTTATCAGATGTGTGCACGCATCATTTAGTGCATTCCCAGGATGGGCATTTCTTCTTCTGTTCTTTGGCAACTGCACTGGTGTTTGAGACCTGTTATGTTTTTGTGCTACATGTGTATAAATCAGCTTTTTCCCCTCAGCCAATGCACTTCAATGTACTTGTCAAATAACTAGTTAGACTGCGGCAATCATATCATCTTAATTTGTACTAGCATACATAGCAGTTGTATTTTACATTTTATAATTGTTTAACAACTGCAATGCAGTGAGCAGAATATTGGTATCTTACTTGGTTTCTCTAGAGTGATTCTGTGTGTGCAGTTAGCATAAACCTGCAACCCTCCTGCTCACATGCCATCTACTTCTCCTGGTTTTGCTAAGATAGAGTTAATTTTCATCTTAGTAGTTAGAATAGCTGTGTTTTGGTTTCAGTATGAGATCTGTTAAGAGAAGAATGTTGGTAAAAGTACTAATGTGATTAGCTGCTGCTGGTGCTAAAGGCCATTGTGCTTGGCTGGTTCACAGCTGCATTAGGACTGGGAGGGAGAAGTGTAGTGAATAGCAAAACCCAAAACTGGCATTTGGATGTGCTAATGAGATATTCCATACCATATCATACCATGTCAGTATATTAACTAAGTTTGACTGGAAAACGGGGGTATTCTCTTTGGGATCGCTCAGGCTCACTCTTCTGGGAGTGCGGTTTCAGTTTTGACAGTCTCGGCTCCGGGATCACTGGCTGGCACAGACTGGGCATCGGTCGGCAGGTGGTGAACAATTGCATTGTGCATCACACATTTGTATATTCTGTTATTACTGTTATTATCATTATTATTTTATTTCAATTAGTAAATTGTTTTTATCTCAACCTGTGAGACTCCTTGCTTTTACCCTTCCAATTTTCTCCCCTGCCCCCTGGGGCAGGGGGAGAGTGAGATAGTGACTGTGTTTGGCTGCTAGCCAAGGAAGTGAAACCACCACACTGTTTCAGTAATATTCAATTAACTACATTAAACAAACTCCAGATGATGCTGAAGCAAAACTGCATTTTGGGGAGACAGCTGCAGCACACACACGTGATCTGAGACAAAGCACAGTTGATTATAAGAGGAAATGGCAATGGTCCTTCAAAACAAAATCATAAGTTTGATTTAATCAATAAGAATAAATATCAAAGACCTAAAAGGCCACCCATTCATACATCTGTTATCCAACACAAGTTTGAAAACTCAAATATCCTTTTATAAGAGATATATATGTATACATTTCATGACAGTTCATGACAAAAAAGCACCTGGGAAACAAAACTCTTATAAGGCAGAACACCATTTAATTCAAGTTATTAAAATCAAGTAAAATTATTTAAATTGATACTGCATGGTCACCACCTTCTGTGTCTAAAGAGGGCTTTATGGATATTCTACCAAAGGTCCTAATGAAATGCCAGAATATTTTGCAGATTAAAAAACACTAGTGACTAACCAGCAAGACAATAACAGACTGCAGAGAGAGAGAGTTAAAATTGTTTTCCTATTACACACAGCTGAATCTTTACCTTTTGAGCATCACAGTGGGATGATGCTATCAACAGACTGCTGTGTTTATTACTGCAATTCCAGATCAAAAAGCAACTACTGCTTAGTAAACCAAACCACGTGGCTTTGAAACAAATACTTCAAACTTTCTTTTTGAGAAGGTTACTTATTTAGAAGGAGATGGCACCCGCCAAGAATAGTGAAGTAGCTATTGCATACGTGAAGTCATGGTAAATACTTAGTAAGGGAGAGGAAAATGCTGTTCAAGCAGAGGACTGTGCTTGTGATACTGGCTGGCTCAGAGTTTGTTTCTTCCGTGCCACAGCCGTGCGCAAGGCCTGAAGAATCATGTTCTCATTGTTCATGATGTTGTAATTAGTCAGCTTCAGGAGCTTGTTGAAGTCTTCTGCTTTCAGCGAGACCTCCCTTGTTGAGTATGGAGAACAGAAACTGGAGATATCAACCTTGCCCTGTTCCATTTCAGCAGCACTACGTGACATGCCTGCCAAAGGAAAAAGGAAGGTGTTTGTATAGTCCCGAAGAATTACAGTACACTGACAGACTATGTAAAGAGTAATTTAGAAAGATCACAGATGCAAGTGCTGTGAAGTCAAGTGCAGTGCTATGATCTCTGAAAGATCTACTTCTGAACAAAGCCTGTTGGAGTTAAACAAAAAATTAGTGTCACTAAACATCATTCCATTGCAACCAGCACCTTCTACTGGCGAGCTCACGACACTTCATTTTATGTGGTCACAGGTGCTCAAGTCTTACTCTGCAGGTTCTTCAGTAGAATACATACTAAAGGTAAAAGGAATAAAGAGATATATAGGACAAGAGGAAGTAGAATATTAGTAGCATCGGAAATCATAACAAAACAAAGTCCAGCTCAACTCAAGTACTAGCCCAACAGTGATTGTATTAGTTTATGTATTATTGGTTTGGGTTTCCAGCATATACAGCCAAGACATTAAACAGTCCAAATAGAAAGCACAGTGCCCACCCCTCCCTGTAGAACCATTCTATACTGTACAGATAATTCCCTTTTAGATCTGACTATCATAAAAATACATAATCTGAGAAATATACTTTGTTCTGCATGCTAAAGTAAACTTTTGGACATCACAAGAGGAAATTAGTTCCTATTCCTCTACTTGAGGAACACATTTCTTCCTTCACTGAATCGAACTGAGACTCAAACTGAACTTATGCACATGATTTCACCTGATTTTGCAAATAGGTTTTTTTGTACTGTATTCACTAGTAGGAAACAAAGTATTTTTGCAAAGGGTTTTTGCAAGCAAACAAAGAATTTTTGTATTGGGATGAGGGAAAAACACCCAGGGACTGAGAAAGTTAATTGTGTCAATAAAATTAGATGTGTACTGTTAACTTACCAGGTGCTACATATCTTTGAAAGGTGTCGTTCACTAATGGAAAATAAAGCAGCAGAGGAGCTCCAGGGGTGTCTGCACCATCGAACATGTAGCACTCTTTCAAGTTCTTCTCATCGTCCTTCAGCCCAATGCTGGGAAATGGAATTCCTTGCTCTGAGAAGTATCTGCAAGCCTGCTCCAGGGGCTGGTCATGATCCAACAGCAGCAGGGTAAGGAGTGGAAAAGATACCCAAGATCAGGCTACTGCTGAAGCCCAGTAATTCATGCCAAATTGCACAAAATAGATGGATAGTGCTGGACAGTCAGCAATAATGTGAGCACCTGCAGTCCCAGGGACTGTTTTTCTCTTGCTACCCTTCCAGAAAAATACCTAATATCAAGATGGTAAAAAGGGCTTAAATGGCACATGTCTAAAATGGGAATACAATTTAGGACCAGAGTGGATTAATTCAAAGCATGTTATAGAGCATCATTAATTAAAGGAGAAGTAATTTAGAAAAATGTAGAATTAAACCAAACTAAATTTGTGGTCCAAAACAGTGAGATTCACAGTCACATTATGTGTTACACAGCAATATAACTTGTGAGTTGATCTCAATAAACTTTAGCAGGGTTTTCAGACCAACTTACTAATTTCTCTAACTTTGAATTTTAGAAACAATATGAGACTTCAAGCTAACATATTTTAGACCTCAAAATACACCACTAAAAACATACATCAGAAAGCTCATTTGTGATGACCAAATTTGTTAAATTATCGAACAAAAAACTGAAGCACCACCTCAGTTTGTTTGAATTAAATATTTCCAAAAGACATCAGAGTACAAGAAGAAAATGTAGTGCAAGTTTTTACATAGGATCTTTTTCAGCTGCAGTACAGAGACCAATATTTTTAATGTGGCATCACAGTGCAAGAGCAGCATTAAAGTATCTTCCACTTGGAAAAAATGACAGAACCCTAGCATTTGATATCTTGCTTCAAGCCCACTATTTAAGGAGAAAAAATATATTATTAAAAGACATAAAAATAAAGACGAAGCAATTCTTCACTTGACTAGGTTGTTCTTGGACAGTTAGAAAATCATATATTAAAATACAAAGACAAATAAAATCTTATATGTTTAAGGAAAATGCAGATTAAATTCAGTGTCTGAATCACACACAAAGTTTTCCCAGCTGTATTTGTGCTATTAAATCTTACATATAATTGTGACAGAAGTTGCAGTTCAACCATCACAACTTCACTGTGCCACTCTATATTTCTTTGGTGAAGCACTTAGGGCTATTTCAAAAGTAGTTTGAGAAAAATAGAGATATTTTCCCCCTGGGAATTTCCATTCTTTTTCCAAGGTTTAGAAACACTATATTGCTAAATACCACTAAAAGTTCCACATTTTACAGACACCTGTCTGAAAATTGTGGAAAACAAAGGAAAAGCCATTATTAAACAAAGACAGTTTTGAAATTTCTCACCAAGGTCTGTGATCCACCAGTGTAATTTAAATGTATGATGACATCCACTTTCCGCTCTGGTCTCATAAGGGGTGGGCAGCTGGTTTCAAAGAAGAAAGCTGCATCCACCAACTCCAGGTGCTCTGAGTTGCTTCTCAGGTCATTAGGAGAGTTGTCTAGCAAAGTGTCTAAAGAGTAAAAGATTGAGTTATTAGCAAAGTGCAGAAAGGCATCTGTCAAGGTAGAAAGCAAAAGGAAGGTGAGCTTTCCCCCCATCCAGGACTTTCCCTCGTTTTAGGATAGCGTGCAGCAGATCTAAACCAAACTGAATTTGTGGTCCAAGACAGTGAGATTCACAATCAGCCTCTCCACTCATGTTTTGTTGGTTGATGTTTCCAAACCCATGAACTGCACCAAGTCCTGGGCAGGTGTTCCATATCTGCAGAGCCCCACCCCAGCAATTTTCATCCCAGTGAGAACTTTCGGTACCAAACGACTCAAAAATTCAACAGTTATGTTACTGGAAAGATGTGAGAAATACTTTGTTCTTCCTTCTCTCCTCTCAGCAAGTACTACCAACTAACCACAAAACCCACTCAGTTCTCTTCAGGACATACAAATGTCCCTTGCTAAATCCCAGCACCTGTGCTCACCCTGATGACTGCTGAGACACGTAGGCAGAAGTGATTGTCCATACCTTTCCATTTTGTGAAATGTTCCTGCTGGATGTACTCGTTGTGCATCTGGAAGCCCCTCAGGAAGTTGTGGTACTTGGAGACGGCAGGGCGGTCCGTCAGAATATCCCGGAGAGCCGTGGAGAGACCGCTCGTAGGAGTGAACATGGATGTAGCCATCTCGTATGGCTTTTCAGGCAAGTCCGGTTGTTCCTCTAGAGACACGTGGCATAAGTGACATGCAGTTGAATTATAACCACAATTAAGAAGAGACTAGGAGCAAAGAAGATGTATTGGCAACTCTTCTGTGACAAGATTAATCATTTGTTCACAGCTCTCAGCATTGCTTTATTTTTCCGTGTGGTCTGCTGTGAGTTCTGGCTCATTTCTTGACAAAAATATAAACTTTGGTTTTCTAAACCCTGATTGTCTACATCTGACTAAAGGAGCATTTTTCTCATAAAACAACATGATTTCAGTATTTCATTTTTCCAAGCAAACAAAAAAACGGGGAAAATAATTGTATTTATACTTTGAGGGGATTACTTCTTTACTGATTCCTTGTAGGTTAAATATTAAATTCAAAGACTATTTTGAAAAGAATAAAAAAATTTGAACATTTTCTTTTCAAACTAAATATTTTTACTTTTGAAAAAACAGTTTGTTGAATTTGGTTTGGGTGTGGCCACCTGAATTAAATATAAGTTTCCAAATTATTTATGTAAACCAAAATATAAGAGTTTGGAGGTTTTTTCCCAAAAACATGGTCTACAGAAATGTGTCCCAATTCCATTCACTACGAAATTACTGGCTTTGCTTGAATTTTAACATCAAGATGCACATGAGTATTTTCAAGGAATAGTCTTTCAATATGGAGTTGCCTCTTTCAGATGGTGTGATAGAGCTTCACTACATTGACTTTCTTTGACCTCTACTAAATCTTTCAGATCAGTCAGATTTTGAGGTAGTGATGTGCTGTGGAGGGTGAACAAATATTGGAAAGGAAACAATCACACTTCTCTTTGGCTAACAAATAGTTGCCATGAGGCTTTCACTGAAGTTCTTCTTTCTAAGCCTTTCAAACACAAACTTTAGGGACCACCTTATCTATCCCTATGTCTTTTCCATCAAAGTCTCTCTGATGGTGTCTTTCCTTCTGATAACAATCTCACTAATTAAGCAAAGCACTGGCTATTCAGTAAAATCAAATAACTTGATTTTCCTAGTGCCTTCCATACCCTGAGGCTGAGAGCACCAGGGTGACAGAAAAACCTCAGAGAATGAGAAATACCAGCACATTTATCCAGTCAGAGAGGCCTGGAGAAGAGAGACCAGAAGTCAAAGGGTACTCGAGATTTACCTATTTCAGTCACTTTGTCTTGGGTCCACCTGTGCCAGAAGTCCTCTGAATTGTCAGCTGCATGCCAAGCATCCAAGAGGTTTTTGGAGAAGATACTACTCCACATTCCTAGGAAGTGAGAAAGGTATAATAAGTAGTGCTGAGAAAAACTCAAGGAGGTTATTTTAAGAACTTATTTTGTTCCTTCCACATCTCTTCTCTAACTTGTATTTCTATCCAATTTTTGCATAAGTCCAGATACCTATTGCAGAAGGCAAACTTATTTCAGAAGAAATTTCAAAGTGTTTTCCCTTCCACCATGTTTTACCTGGAACTTTTTTTTTTTTTTTGAGAAATTATACATCGTGATTTTCCTATTTTCATTTCCTTTTTCATTTGACAAAGAAATATTTTCAGCCATCTCCTTCCTTGATTACCTTCTTTCTTGCCTTATTTATTTCTTCTCAACATTTCCTTCAACTTCCACAAAGTGTCCTAGATTTCCAACTTTCAAAGTGTTTTGCAAGCTACAGGAAATGATGATGTTTCAAAAGGACTCACAAAGGTACATAATGACTGATTTGCCATTTTAGTTTCATGTTATCTCAGTTCAAATGATAAAACTACCTTTGCTAGCAAGGGTAGTTGAGCATGTCTCAGAAGACATGCTGAATTTCAGCTGACTGACCCAGTACCTTGGCTGCCACATGCAAAACAACAGGTTTCTGGGGACTAATTTCCAGAATCATTAGTGTTTGTATTAAAATCTTGTAACTCCTCCAGGCTGGTGAGTCACCTTGCATGAAGCAGATCCGGGACTCAGGGAGCTTCTTCATCAGGCGACCCATGAAGAACTCACTGCCAAAATCTTCTGCACGAATGAAGGCGCCGTACTTCAGGAAGCCCACCTCGTAGGGTGTGAACTCCACCCACTCTGCCAACACACACACCAAAAATGTTAGCTCCGCTATTAAAAACGATCAAGTCACCAGACATGGAATAAACCTTTCAGGTGCCAACCCTCGTGGGCAAGCTGCCTTAGCACATAGTCTGAGCAAACCCTGCTGGCAACTGCTGC